TAGGGTTTAGGGTTTCTTAACCCCAAGTAATCTACTTGTTTCAGGTCTTATATAAGGAAATGGGCAGTTCTCTAATTTAGGGTCCTTTTTTGGGGTCCCCAATATGCTACGGCACCCAAATAAAAAGGACCCTAAAAGGGACCCTAATTTAGAAAACCACTCAAATCATATAATAAGGATCCCTAAACGGGTAGGTTTTTATAGGATCCAGGTAAGCCCCTAAACCCTTGTCCGATGTCTAAGTGGGGGTTTCCGAGCATAGGGGACCCTGATATAGCACTTTAAATAGTAGGATCCCGATTATAAGGACCCCAAAATACGGTACCCCTAATTTTCGGAAACTCCCACACCCTAAACCCTAAACCCTAAACCCCTAAACCCTGAACCCCGAACCCTAAACACTTGTCCGATGTCTAAGTACCTAGTCCGACAGCCCCGAAGATGCTGAGACCTTGATACCCTAAAGCCAAATCCCGCTTCTGTCGGGGCTTAGATAAGTACAAACACTCTTTTGGGGGGTTCCTTACTATGATTCTAGCATAATGGGCCCCAAAACCCTATTCTAATTATTAAGGCTCCTATATTATTATAGCCTGATACATCATAAACCCTACGTCCCTCCACAGACAAAGCCGAAAACGCAGCTCTAGAAACAGCTTCCCCTTCAACAGCACAGCCTTTGCTACTGTTTCAGTTTGGGACAAGAGGCGAAAGCCTAAACCCCAAAACCCTAAAGCCCTAAATTTCCTTTAACCCTACCCTCCTTAAGCTCCTTAAACCTGAACTTCCCTAAACCGCAAACTCCAGACCCTCTTAGTGGGGGGGGCCCCACCGGTCCGGTCCAGGGCTCTTCGAGTAGAGCCCCGATCCATACAGCCCTGAACACCACGTTTAGGGTTTAGGGTTAAGGGTTTAGGGGTTTAGGGTTGGGTTTCGGGTTTAGGGTTTAGGGGTTTTAGGGTTTTGGGTTTAGGGCGCATCGGCTGCGGACTGCCTACGAAACGGCTGGACAGAAATGGCAGGAATACGAGTCAAAGCTCATGGAAACGCTGAAGAGGGAGCGTCAGAGATTCCTCAGGGATCAGGAGAGACTGGAGCGCGAGATCGCGGAGGCCGAAGTCGACCAGGACACCGCCCTACGTGGCTTGAGAGCAGCTCCGAAGTGTGTGCGGGTGTTGGTTTATTTGTCTGCTTGCTTGTTCGCCTGTTTGTTAACGTGGTTATTTAATTGTTGATGTCGCTATGTATTTGCTTACTTCTTTCTCCATATATATATATATATATATGTAAACAAAGAGACAGAGAGAGAGAGAGAGTGTGTGTGTGTGTGCACGTATGATATACCCCAAGACCCTTTTCAACTTCTTAAGACCCCTACAACCCTACAACCCTAAACCCTAAACCCTAAAACCCTAAACCCTAAGACCCTAAACCCTAAACCTTATCTTTGCAGAACCCAGACCTGCAGATAAACCCGAAATGCATCTTGCTTGTTCCACGCAGCGCTTCGACAGTGTCAGAGTGTGTCCGCATGTCAGAGAGGTGTTGACCCTCGATGGGTATTTGCCGTAGGCTTTTAGGAGGCTGCATAGTTAGCAAATAGCCTAATTAAGCCTTAAACCCCACACCCCAAGCAATTTGGCGATGCCTTGAACCATGTCTTCACGGCCGTGGGCCACGGTAATGCAGAGAAACCCCAAATCCCCAGAAACTAAACCCTTAAACCCCTAAACCCTGAAATGTCACGCAGGTGTGGGGGCCGCCACTTTGGCTTTGCCGACCGGCTTGAGAATCCTGCGGAGATTCGGCCTAGGGTTCAGGGTTGAGTAGAGTAGCCTTCCCGCCACTGCTGTTGTTACTAACGACAAGCTATCCTGCAATTACTGTTCATAGTGTGGTCCGGTCCGTTTGCTTACTCTTCTGTCTTCACAAACTACTGTGTACGGGTGACAAAGCTGAGAACAGATATTGTGGTTGTCAACGCAGGCCAAGGCTGTAGCAGATCAACTGCCGCCGGGGCCTGTGAGCTCGGCGCAAGAGGTGGAGTGCAGCATGCTGGTAGGAGTGCAGTTCAAGACTGGCAGTAGCTAGGTAGAGTGCCCTGCGCCTCCCCCTACGAGTCATCATGTCGATTTGCGTTGATGTGCATTTGCTTAGTGGCAATCATGCCTCTGTGGAAGTGGAGGCGGAGGCATCTGTTGAATCATTGAAGCGCCGCGCCTACAGTATTCTGGTGGTCCCGAGTAGGGGGCGGGTGCTGAATTCTTCTGGAGAGGTGCTGGACGGAGCATAAACGGTCACAGAAGCGAAGTTGAGGACTGGAGACGTGCTCACCCTACACGTGAACCAAGTGCAGCTCAACGCCACCCGTTCGTTCTCTGCGTTCACCGCTCTCTTGGGTGATGGATCTGTGGCAACCTGGGGTGAGGCCGACTATGGTGGCCACAGCAGCGCGGTACAGGATCAGCTGAAAAATGTGCAGCAGATCCAAGCTGCTCATGGTGCATTTGCTGCAATCCTGGGTGATGGATCTGTGGTCGCCTGGGGCGACGCCGACTCTGGTGGCGACAGCAGTGCGGTACAGGATCAGTTGCGAGATGTGCAGCTGATCCAAGCTTCTGACAATGCATTTGCTTCAATCCTGAGTGACGGATCTGTGGTCACCTGGGGTGATGTTCGCTCTGGTGGCGACAGCAGTTCGGTACAGGATCAGCTGCGAGATGTGCAGCAGATCCAAGCTTCTGATTGCGCATTTGCTGCAATCCTGGTCAATGGATCTGTAGTCAGCTGGGGCAATGCCCGCTTTGGTGGCGACTGCAGTGTGGTACAGGATCAGCTGCGAGATGTGAGGCAGATCCAAGCTTCTTGTCATGCATTTGCTGCAATCCGGAGTGATGGATCTGTAGTCACCTGGGGCGACGCCGACTCTGGTGGCGACAGCAGTGCGGTACAGGAGCAGCTGCGAGATGTGCAGCAGATCCAAGCTTCTGATCATGGAGGTCACCTGGGGTGATGCTCGCTCTGGTGGCGACAGCAGTTCGGTACAGGATCAGCTGCGAGATGTGCAGCAGATCCAAGCTTCTGCTCGTGCATTTGCTGCCATCCTGGTTGGTGGATCTGTGGACACCTGGGGTGAGGCCCGCTCTGCTGGCGACAGCAGTGCGGTACAGGATCAGCTGCGTGATCTGCAGCAGACAGAGCAGCTTGCGTTCCCCTGGTTTGCACGGTGAGCGAGCGCAAGTGCCGGCACCTTCAGAAGAGCCGCAGAGAATGCAGAAGCTCTGCCTGGACAGATATCTGGGGACTGCGCTGGTATATCTTAATACGTTATAGTAGAATGTAACATATGTAATACAATATCAGATATTGAAAATCATGTAATATAGCTGAATATATGAATATAACTTAAACAAAATATAAGATTGCATAAAGCAATACAACATCACATACGGCAAGATAAGATAAGACCATGCGGTATAAGAAAAAGTAATGTAAGACACCATAAGACATTTAAGACTTAAGACAAGGCAATATTATATAGTATAACATCATATAATATGACACCACATAGCAACACAAATCCGAACCTCAGAAAGTATGTTTATATATGATATATTTGAGTCTGATCTGATCTTGTTCCGGAGCTCCCTCAAAGTATATAACCTCCCGCAAAGCTTTGAAGCAGTGCCTCCGTAATGTGCCTTCGATTCACAGTCCTAGCGGTTGTGATCGTGGTTCTAGTTTGGAGATGGGGTGTAGGGGTTTAGGGTTTGTTTCGCGAGCCCTCGAGAGCGCAAGCTCAAAACCTGACACCCTAAAACTGAACGGGGCGAACCCTTACCTAGTTTACAACAACCTCCTCTAAGCCCGTAAACCCTGAGCCCTCAAACCCAGGCCCATACTATGAACCGCTGAATCCCAATTATTTCACAAGGTGGCCGAAAAGACCTACAGTTTGAAGGTTCCTGATTACTGATATCGGAAGTTCCAAGAAGAAACGGCTTCAATTTTGATCTCAGAAGTCCTGTACAGAAGCCTAAATCTACGCTTGGACCACCCCAATACTATTCCCGAGCATTCTTGATTCTGTATTCAATCGATACTATACCCCGAAGCTCAACTAATCATTATGGCGTAGTAACCCCTGGAGAGCCCTTTCACGAACCTGAGTCTAACTATGAAGGCCCCTATACTTGGGTTCGAGCCCGACCCTTTCAGGAACAGAGGGGCCTAAAAAATTACCTATAATATTTGGGGGGAGGAGGTTCCTTATTATAAGTATACTATAAGGACCCCAAAACCCTATTCTAACTATGACGGCCCCTACACTTAAGGGTTCCTTATTATAAGTATACTATAAAGGACCCCAAAACCCTATTCTAACTATGACGGCCCCCTTTTGCTACTGGGTTCGAGCCAGGTTCTTCTTGCACTCGATGACTCTGGCGCTGCCAGATCCAGTCCCAGCCCCAAACCCCCAAACCCTAAACCCTAAACCCCCTGAGCCCCAAACCCTAAACCCCCTGAGCCCCAAACCCTAAACCCCCTGAGCCCCAAACCTTAAACCCTAAACCCCCTGAGCCCCAAACCCTAAACCCTAAACCCCTAAACCCTAAACCTCCAAGCCTTAAACCCTTAAAACCCCCCATGCTCGGCATCTTGGGCTTTTGCGACTTCAGGTTCCCGGAGTTGGGGACTTTGGAGGATCCTGGGACTTGGTAAGTAAGGTTACAACTACCTTAAATTGGGGTTATAACTACTTGTAAGTATAGCTACCTTATTTATAACCCTAGTTACTAAGTCCCATGATCCTCTAAAAACTCTACGGGCCTAAATAATTATCTATACTATTGCGGGGGGGGTCCTTTTTATAGGAGTAGTATCATGGGCCCCAAAACCCTCTTCTAATTATTGAGGCCTCTTTGTTAGTTCTCCAAGTCAGGGCCCTTGTTGAGGTCCCCATGATAGCACGCCGCCCTTATAAAAAGGACCCTGCAGGGACCCGAATTTAGAGAACTGCCCATTTGGGTTCACCCTAAACCCTAAACCCTAAACCCTAAACCCGGTTCAGGGTTGAGGGTTCAGGGAGTTCAGGGTGGAGGGCTCTGGGCTGGGCCTGGGGTCTTAGGGCTTACTGGGTCCTTGTTGGCTACAATTTTACATGTTGGTTATCACAAAACCCGGTAGGGATGAAAAATGGTCATGTTTAATATAGCTCCAACAGGGAACCCTAAACCCTAAACCCTAAACCCTAAAACCCTAACACCCTAAACCCTAAACCAGCTTAAGGTTTGGAGTGTCTGGTTTAGAGTTGTTGGGTTCGGGGGTTTATTTGGTGGCCATGGGCTTCGAAGCCAAAGTTGTGGGTTCCGGGTTTGGAGGCCTTGGGACTGCGGTTCAGGGCCCCGTGGTTTCGGGACCCCTTAATTAAGGAATATAACTTAAAATATATGGGCCTTACTTTTATGATTTAAGGTATATTCCTTAAATAAGGGGTATTTGAGGTTGGGAGGCTCTCAAGCATCTTTTCTAAGGAAGCTTTAGTTTAGGGTCCTTAAGGTAATGCAGGATTTATATCTTCAGCAGTATGGCTTTAGGGCTTAGGGTTTGAGGGTTTAGGGTTTAGGTTTACCTAAGACACTGAAATCTCTGTTGGCAGCTGCTCCTCATGCTATAGTAGGCTTTCGGATTTCAGGCGGTTCCTTGAGAAGAGATCCTGAATCACGCAGCACGATCGCTTATACCAAGTTGGAAACCGGATGAAGGACAAATAGTGCTGGGATTCCCCGTGCATTTCTCTTAGGGATTGAGGCTATTGGGTTTCCAACTTTTGGGCTTCTACCATATCGCTCTCTCTCTCTCTCTCTCTCTCTCGCATTATATGATCAGACGTCCTGCTTGGGATGTGGAAGGGGGGCAAGGATAGTCTTGGCAACGGTTAATAATCCACCGCTTCGGCCGGAACCCTAAGCCCAAAATCGGCCTTAAAACCTACAAACCATGAGTTGTCGAAGAAAGTCCTGCACTCCAGTAGAAGGCGCCAAGGAGCCTTGAGCCCTAAACCTCCTTGCACTTTCGGGCTTGAGGTTCAGGTTTTAGGTTTTCGGGTTTGAATTTCAGGATTGAGGTAGAGCTCTTAATAGGATTTAGGCTTAGCATTTAGGGTTTAGGCTTTAGCATTTAGGATTTAGGATTGAGGATCTAAGATTCAGGATTTAGGGTTCTCCTGCAGGTGCCACCCGAGCAGCAGGCTCAAGTGAAGAGCTTTGTCCTTTCCCTCCGCGAGGTGCCTTTGCTTCATGGTTTAGGGTTTAGGCTTTAGGGTTTAGGAGGGGAGTCTAGAAAGGTTGATGGCTTGAGCCGCGCTCCGATTCAATTGGAGAACGCTAAACCGCAAACCCCAAACCCTAAACCTGAAACCCCAAACCCTAAACCCTAAACCTGAAACCCCAAACCCTAAACCTTAGACCCAAAACCTTAAACCCCAAACCTGAAACCCTAAACCCAAAACCCTAAAACCTTAGACCCTAAACTAAAGTAATAGTTACTTCTCGTTAGTTTGATCAGGTTCAGGTTTCCAGTCTCGGGCTCGGCCACCGCGGGGCAAGCAGGAATTCGGGCTTTGAAAGTTCTGCAGCTTGATAGAAGGCCCCTTGTTTAAGGTTTAGGGTTTATATGGGTTTTGGGTTTAGCGGTTTAGGGTTTAGGGTTTAAGGTTTAGGGCTTATAGGGGTGAAGGGTTTCACGGCTCAGGGTTTATGGTTTAAGGTTTAGGGTTTAGGCTAGATAGTCCTTGCTTTTCGCGTCGTAAAAAGGGATCCTCGAGGAAGAGGCTCATTAATGTGGGCACCCCAACCCCCCACCCCTACCCCTTGAAACACCTTAAACCCTACAAACTAAACCCCTAAACCCTAAACCCCTAAACCCTGAACCCATCACCCTAAACTCTCAACCCGAAACCCCTAAACCCAAAGCCCTAAACCCCCCCCCTTCCTTCAGTTGTCTCAACCCCAAAACC